TTATTGATTTTTTGGAGGGTTTTTTGTGTCTCTGTCTCCTTCAGTTCAGCTCTGATCTTAGTTATTTCTTGTCTTCTGCTGGGTTTTGAGTTTTTTTGATCTTGCTCCTCTAGCTCTTTCAATTTTGACGATAGGGTGTCAATTTTGGATCTCTCCATTCTCCTCATATGGGCACTTATTGCTATATACATTCCTCTAGAGACTGCTTTAAATGTGTCCCAGAGATTCTGGCATGTTGTGTCTTCGTTCTCATTGGTTTCGAAGAACTTCTTTATTTCTGCCTTCATTTCGTTGTTTATCCAGTCAACATTCAAGAGCCAGTTGTTCAGTTTCCATGAAGCTGTGCGGTTCTGGGTCAGTTTCTGAATTCTGAGTTCTAACTTGATTACGCTATGGTCTGAGAGGCTGTTTGTTATGATTTCAGTTGTTTAGCATTTGCTGAGCAGTGCTTTACTTCCAATTATGTGGTCAATTTTAGAGTAGGTGTGATGTGGTGCTGAGAAGAATGTATATTCTGTGGATTTGGGGTGGAGAGTTCTGTAAATGTCTATCAGGTTTGCTTGCTCCAGGTCTGAGTTCAAGCCCTGGATATCCTTGTTGATTTTCTGTCTGGTTGATCTGTCTAATATTGACAGTGGAGTGTTAACGTCTCCCAGTATTATTGTGTGGGAGTCTAAGTCTCTTTGTAAGTCGTTAAGAACTTGCCTTATGTATCTGGGTGCTCCTGTATTAGGTCCATATATGTTTAGGATCGTTAGCTCTTCTTGTTCTATCGATCCTTTTACCATTATATAATGGCCTTCTTTGTCTCTTTTGATCTTTGTTGCTTTAAAGTCTATTTTATCAGAGATGAGAATTGCAACTCCTGCTTTCTTTTGCTCTCCATTTGCTTGGTAAATCTTCCTCCATCCCTTTATTTTGAGCCTTTGTGTATCCTTGCATGTGAGATGGGTTTCCTGGATACAGCACACTGATGGGTTTTGGCTTTTTATCCAATTTGCCAGTCTGTGTCTTTTGATTGGTGCATTTAGTCCATTTACATTTAGGGTTAATATTGTTATGTGTGAATTTGATACTGCCATTTTGATGCTAGCTGGCTGTTTTTCCCGTTGTTGTAGATTCTTCATTATGTTGATGTTCTTTAGCATTTAGTGTGATTTTGGAATGGCTGGTACTGGTTGTTCATTTCTATGTATAGTGCCTCTTTCAGGAGCTCTTGTAAAGCAGGCCTGGTGGTGACAAAATCTCTGAGTACTTGCTTGTTCGCAAAGGATTTTATTTTTCCTTCACTTCTGAAGCTCAGTTTGGCTGGATATGAAATTCTGGGTTGAAAGTTCTTTTCTTTAAGAATGTTGAATATTGGCCCCCACTCTCTTCTGGCTTGTAGTGTTTCTGCCGAGAGATCTGCTGTGAGTCTGATGGGCTTCCCTTTGTGGGTGACCTGACCTTTCTCCCTGGCTGCCCTTAGTATTTTCTCCTTTATTTCAACCTTGTTGAATCTGACAATTATGTGCCTTGGGGTTGCTCTTCTTGCAAAATATCTTTGTGGTGTTCTCTGTATTTCCTGCAATTGAGTGTTGGCCTGTCTTGCTAGGTGGGGGAAATTTTCCTGGATAATGTCCTGAAGAGTATTTTACAGCTTGGGTTCATTCTCTTCGTCACATTCTGGTACACCTATCAAACGTAGGTTAGGTCTCTTCACATAGTCCCACATTTCTTGGAGACTTTGTTCATTCCTTTTTGCGCTTTTTTCTCTGATCTTGGTTTCTCATTTTATTTCATTGAGTTGATCTTCGACTTCTGATATTCTTTTTTCTGCTTGGTCAATTCGGCTATTGAAACTTGTGCATGCTTCGCGAAGTTCTCGTATTGTGTTTTTCAGCTCCTTTAATTCATTCATATTCCTCTCTAAGGTATCCATTCTTGTTATCATTTCCTCAAATCTTTTTTCAAGGTTCTTAGTTTCTTTGCATTGATTTAAAACATGTTCTTTTAGCTCAGAAAAGTTTCTCATTATCCACTTTCTGAAGTCTAATTCCGTCATTTTGTCACAGTCATTCTCCGTCCAGCTTTGTTCCCTTGTTGGTGAGGAGTGTTGGTCCTTTCTAGGAGGCGAGGTGTTCTGGTTTCGGGTGTTTTCCTCCTTTTTGCGCTGCTTTCTTTCCATCTTTGTGGATTTATCCACCTGTCGTCTGTGTAGTTGCTGACTTTTCGATTGGATCTCTGAGTAGACACCCAGATTTTTGATGATGAAGTATTTATGTTACTTGGTTTTCCTTCTACCTGTCTAGCCCCTTCTCTGTACGACTACTGAGGTCCACTCCAGGCCCTGCTTTTCTGGGGTGCACCTATAGCAGTTGCGGAACAGCGAGGGATGCTATGAGTTTCTTTTTCTGCTATCTTTATCCCAGAATGATGCCTGCCAAATGTCAGTCTTTTGGATATAGAGGGGTCAGGGAGCTGCTTGTGGAGACAGTCTGTACTTTGTAGGAGCTCAAGTGCTGAGCTGTGAGCTCCATTGTTCATTCAGGGCTGTTAGGCTGCTATGTTTAATTCTGCTGCAACATAACTCATAAAAAAACCCTTTTTTTCTCAGATGCTCTGTCTGGCGGGGGGGTTGGGGCTTTCCTTGTGAGTGTCCGCCTCGCTGTCCTGCCCAGCTAGGAGGCAGTGTAGTCACTATTTGCCTGCCGAGGCTCCACCCTGCTGGTGTGAGGTTCGCCCTGTTGCTGCAGGCTCTGCCCTTCTGCTGTGGTCTCCGCCCTGTTGCTACAGGCTATGCCCTGCTGCGGAGTCTCTCTATTGTACCGGGTTGCCTCGGCAATGGCAGGCTGCATCAGCAATGGGCGTGTACCTCAGTAGGGGCTGATTGCCTCAGTAATGGCGGACGCCCCTCCCTAACGGAGCTGCGCTTTAAGAAAACCTCCTCACCGGGAGCGTTTGGAATCGCCGTTTTGTTTGTCACACTGCGCTACCCCAAACGCTGTGTCCCTGGGATTTCCTGGGCTGGCTCACTGTCCAAGTCCCGTTCAGTCTCAAGTTCAGCTCTCTCAGGTCTCAGTTTGCCGGTTCAACAGGGCACCCATAACAGTGCGCTTTTGTATGGAGCGCTGTGGAGCGCCTCTGCACTCCGGCGTGGGCCGCAGCCGCAGCGGCTGCCGGCTACACCACCCAAGACCTCTGCCTGGCGTCCCGCGTCTCTTTTACACCTGGGAATTTCCCCGTTTTGTGGGCAGCTAAGATCCGTCTGGAAATGCGTCCCCGACTCACCCTCTCCGCGCATCCAGCGAGAGCTTCAATCCTGGGTTGTTCTCACAGCGACATCTTAAGTCCTCCTACCATCTTTTATTTCTTTATCTTGTCCTATGGAACTGGATGGCACCTCCAATACAGTGTTGAATAGGAGTGGTGAGAATGGGCAGTCATTTCTTTTTCCCCCATTTTCTAAAGGAAAGTTCTCAGTTTCCTACCCCTTCCCTGTGGTATCTGGCCCTTGCTGTGTATCATTGCAGGATCTTTGCCCAACAAGTTTTCCTGCTCCTACCCTAGGGTAAGATGCTTCTCCCTTCTCTTCCCTCTGGCATTGTACCTTTTCCTGGAATCAGAGGGTTTGGCTGGTCTTCTTCCAGGGGTAGACTGTTGTTGCTCGTTACTGTAGGTACAGAGCTTGTTGGGAGAGCAGGGAGGATTTGGTACAGAGTTTTGCCTCTGAGAGCAGGTTATTTTTGTCTGCTGGGACTTTGCTAGGCAGGAGGGTATCCTTCCCCTTCCCAGGGACTTAGGTGTTACTTCCTATGCAAGAAAGCCTGGGGAAATAGGTAGGGTTTTATTGCTTGTGTTCCAGCAAAGGGGTCTTTCTCAGGTCTTTTGCCTCACTGCAGCCTTTCATGAGCACTCCACAGAGAGGAACTTTGAGTGGGTGTGGACACTTCCTGTGCCGGGGCTTTAGAAGAATTCAGAACTTGTGTGGCAGTCCACATTTGGCCTTTAAGAAGTCCTTAAAATTTAACTGATTCCTTCTTTTACATTATATTGCATCCTAACTTTCTTTAAAGTTTAACCACTTAATTGTACCTTCCTAAACAATATAATGTAGTTGGGCTGGGCTTTGAACTTTATATAAATGGAATCATGTCATATATATGTTGTTTTATGTCTGGTTTCTTTTGCTGAGTATTTGTTTTTAATACTCAGCCATGATTTTGTGGTTATTTTTTGTTCATTTTCATTGTTTCATATTGTTTCATTGTATGAGTATACCAGAACTTGTCTACATATTATTTGTATGGTTTCCAGATTTTAGCTGCTACAAATAGCTAATATAAATAAGCTTCTTGAGTGCCCTCCTCCTGCCCGCAGCACTGGCATCTCCTGGGAGCTGATTAGACATTCACATTTGTGGGCACTACCTTAGACCTACTGAGATAGAAATTGTAAGAGTAGGGCCTGCAGTTTCTGTTTTAATCCCCTGGAGTGATTACTGCAAATGCTAAAGTTTGAGAACCACTCCTATAGTAGGTATACCTAGGAGAGGAACTGTTGGGGCATAGGGATGGGCAGATAATGGCAAACTGTTTTCTAAGTGATTGTGCCAATTTACATCTTTACCAATGATACAGGAAACCTCTTGGCTATCTTCAGAGTTTTTCATGGTAATTCTTCTCTCTACATCCTTTTTAGTTTTAATGTATAACTTTATCTGTAAAATTAAAAATTAGGTCATTGGTCAATGAAATCTAAAAGTCTGGAAGGACTGGTCTAGATGAAACAGCTTTGAATGCAGTGATGATATCATCTTTGCTTTCGTTTAAATACCTAGCACAGTGTTAAGCACGTAGAAAATTATGTACATATCTATTAAACTGAATTTGAGAATACCTATTTTTTCTGTTTTAAGCAGTTTCTCCATCTTATTTTTTTAAACTCTTAAGACCTAAAGTTTATTAAAATAATTTAGCAATGCTTTTTGAAAAATCACCATATACCTTTTATTTTTTTAGCTTTTATCTCTTCTTTTTGAAGACTTGTTCAAAAAATTTAATTCTGAAATGAAAAAGATTGCTGACCAGGTGATTCCTAAGCAGAGAGCAGCCCAGTTTGATGTTGTAAAACACATGCGCCAAGACCAGATCACCAATGGCATGGTGAACGCTATTTCTACTGTAAGTCTCCAGTCACTCTTTCAGCATTTTCTAATTTACCTGGAAGTCTGTTCAATGGAATGGAAACGTAAAGCACTTGGAGAATCCAGGTGAAATATATATATATTAAAAGGAATGTTTACAAAGCACACATTTTTACTTTGAAAGAAAGTCTGAAGTGTCATCAATAGGAATTTTCTTATTTATAACTTTCCTGCGAAATTATAGTTTCTGTTATATGAGGCAATAAGAAAATAGATACTGATGCGTAGCGGAAAAATCTTCATTTAACTGTTAATAACCATTCTTTTAAAGAAAACTTTCCTCTTTTACTTCTGTAGTAAAATTGACACATTTCAGACAGGTTTCTTAGTTAGCAACCTTTTGTCCAAAATAATACAAAACGTTTCATTTCACAGGAGTTTTATATTCTTCAAAGACCTATCAGCTGTTCCTCACATAAGCAATGAATTTAGTTCTGGATGAATTCAGCTCTCGGCAGCTGCTGTGTAGTCAGGGTCTCAGGCTATTCATAAAAGGTTATCAGATGGGTTTTTGCTCCCTTTCTTAAAGCATGACAACTATAGGTCTATCTGATGAAGTCTGGTTCATGTTTTGTATGCCAGACATAAAATTAGTTTTATGGATGAGATTTTGCCCCAACAAAGCATGATATAATCTGCCATGTTGATTCCCTTAATGATGAAAGAATTATTGCAGACTCGCTTCAATACTTGACTTTGGAACTTTATAGTGGGTCTTAGTGGCCCTTGCAATGACAGCTATATCTAAATTTGAGGTGAACCACGCCTTTGTCCCTGTTTAAGCATATAAACTCTGGTGGTCCGAACTTGTCTGAGGTGGATCCTGAATATTTGAAGAGAATCCTCCAAAGAGTGCTTGAACACACTTCTCTTAGAATTACTTTTTCTTGCTTCTTCACCCATGATTTTCAGGTCAAAAGAGCTATTTTAAGTAGTTCTTTTTCCCCTAAATGAAACTGCTTTACCTCCCTGACAGAACTGCTTATTACAAAAATCAGTAGCAGGCCTAGTTACAGGTGTATCCCACTCTAGGCAACAGAAAAAGATCAACCTTTAAAATTCTGAGTTGCTATTAGCAGAATGCTTTTACCAAATATGTTTTCCCCAAAGGACCAGTTTTAGACCTCTTGTGTTTCTCGTCTCTCCCCTTTGTAATACTCCTGCAGAATACAAGAACAAATTCTCTTGCCGAACATCTTGGCTTTACTCCCATCTACTTGCTACTTGCCAACAGCTGCTGCCTTATTTTAGCTGTGTGCTGAATACTTATTTACCTTATTTACTCTTACTCTCTGGGCATAAGTCAGTTTACTAGATTCATTCTCCCTCCGAGGATAAAAGGAGTTAATGAAATAAGTAATAATATGAGAGGTTAATTTGTGGAATATATATGGTTGCTCTGTTTATTTGCCTTATAATAGAGTTTCTTAGAGCTTAGCTCTTTTCCACATTTCAGAAACTTAAGGTTCCAAAGTGATCAATCTTGACTGTAATAGTGAGCAAACTTTAATTTGTGAGGGAGCTCCCCCAAAGTTACATATTTTAATGCAAAAGATCACCTAATCGTTTCCTGAAACCCTAGCAATTTTTCTGCTACAAGGGTTTTTAATCTGGAATCCACAAGAGTCCAAAATGAATATTAAATTTTTGTTCTTGTTTCTATGTGCATTTTTCTCAAGAGAACACTCCTAGCTTTGATTGGGTCCTCTGAGGAGGAATGGAGAACCATGGCAGGTGCAGTTGTTCTTTTTGGAACTAGAAAACTTGAGTCAACAATTCTGTTCACATATTATTGTCTGCTTTGCTTTTTTTTTTTTAACTGAGACAGGGTCTTACCTCCAGGCTGGAGTACAGTGGTGCAATCTCAGCTCCCTACAGCCTCTGCCTGCCTTTTGGGCTCAATTGATCCTCCCACCTCAGCCTCCCAAGTAGCTGGGAGCACAGACATGTGCCACCACACCCAGCTAGTTTTTGTATTTTTAGTAGAGACGAGGTTTTGCCACATTGGCAGGTTAATCTCAGACTCCTGACCTCAAGTGATCTGCCCACCTCAGCCTCCCAAAGTGCTGGGATTATAGGCGTGAGCCACCACACTCAACCTGTGTTGCTTTTTTGATGAATACTGTTTTCTACTATTAATTCATGTTACTATGAATTTACATTTGAAAAATTTTTGACCTTAATCTGTAAGTTCTCCTTGAGGATATTTTCAATATATACAATTATAAAATAATATGTTTAAAATAATATAACATTTAATGCATAAGAAGATAAAGTAAATTTATTATTCAGGATTTATTTCATATGAATCTATTTTAATAATGATACAGTGGCCACAGAGAATATATATTTCTTAATATGAATATATATACTATTTTTAGATTCCTTAAACCTTGATTAGGAAGCCATCAGTTTGTTCATTATCCCAAATAAGTGCTATCAGAGTTATTTTTCTGTTGCTACATTTTGCTATTCTTAAGAGTAACTTTGGAAAACATCCAAATAATCGCACATTCCAACATGAAATGATCTCTTTGTTGCTGGTGTTTTATCAGTTAGTTTATGACTTCCCATGGAAATCTCTGGTCGAACTGGCTTTTCAGTATAGAATTAGTTCCTCAGAAGGTGACTGCTCTGATATAGTAAGGTTGATGCATCAGACACTTCTGAGATGGTTGCTAGACATAGTAATGTTCATTATCTTCCTAGAAATCCCCAGTGAATGACTTGACTAAGTTTTCATTTTAATTGTGATGCTTTGATTTCTGAATATGTGCATGGTTCTAATTTCGAAAGCATGAAATTCCTGTAATGAACTTCCTGTAGTTACTGCACAGTATCAGACAACATAGGATTGGATTAGGAATAGTCTTGTGTCTTTCATCTCCCTACAGGGAAACTGGTCTCTAAAGAGATTTAAAATGGACCGCCAGGGTGTGACCCAAGTGCTGTCTCGCTTGTCATATATATCCGCACTGGGCATGATGACAAGAATCTCTTCCCAGTTTGAAAAAACAAGAAAAGTGAGTGGTCCTCGCTCCCTCCAGCCGTCTCAGTGGGGAATGCTCTGTCCTTCAGACACTCCTGAAGGAGAGGTAAGGAATCTGAGGAGTCTTGATGCTGTGTCAGAAGTGATACCTATGTCTGTGCATAGTGTGGGGTGGGTGTGGTCCCTTTCTGTTCCTATCTCCCAGGCCATATCCTTTTTTGGTCTGCCATTTATCTGGCAAAGAAATATTGACATGCTTGGAAGACTGCCTTAGTGTCATTCTAAAACTAGGACCTGCAGAAGCATTTGATTCAGTAAGTTAGCTAAAAGTAATACAGTCCATGTTTCTCTTGCTTATTTTAGTTTATCCCAAAATCAAACCATGCACAGAAGGAATAAGACTGTGAAGGCAGATTGAAAGACCTATCATCTCTCATGCTCATGAGAAGCTCTTTTTGAGCAGCTCCTTATTGTCCTTAGGTGGGCTCAGTCACAGCCAATTAGGAGTATACAGTCCATTACCTAATGTGGATTCTAACTCACTTATATTGGAAACACAAGCAATTGCCTAAACACCAAGCCAGGGAGTTTACATTGGTTTACTTCTATACCACCCGCTATTCTCTGTGTCATGGTCCTTTCTCCTTTGTGTTAATATTGTTAGTTTCACTTGATTTTATTCCTTCTAAGTTGTAAAATCTGGAAGAAGGGAGGTTCACCATTGTATCTCAAGCTCCTAACACAGAGGCTTGGTTAGAGTAGAGGCCCCATGAACATATGCTGAATTAATAACTTAAGTTATGACAAGTAAAAGATGTAGATTCCAAAGTGTAGGGATTTGTTATTATTTGGAAGAGATGAAAATAGGAGTCTGTGTAGAGTTGTGGTTTTTATAAATTATTCTTCTAATTTATCTTAAACCATATGGAAATTGACACTAAATTATGCAGTTTGTCAAATTTTTTATAATTTATATATCTTAAACTTTGAAACATTTCATTTCCCAGAAATTGTTTCAGCTAACTTCAGCAAAGTAGCTATTTTGTGCATTACTGCAGCAGATGATTTTAAGACTTGTAGATAAAATCTTACAAATCATCTGTCTTTAAGTATTTTTTTCTATTCACTGTATTCTGTCCTTGTTGGTATTTTTGTTTTAGAACTTTGCGGAATGTATAGAAGTTTAAAACCACTTATCTCCTTTTCATTTTGAAATAATTTTAGATGTACAAAAAACTTACAAAACTAGTATGAAGATTTTCCACAATCCTTCATCTAGATTCCCAACTGTGAACATCTTACATAACCATAACACTGTTATTAACCTCATGAGACTGAACAATACTGTAATCTATGGATCTTATTCAGATTTTGCCAGTTGTCCCACTGTTGTCTTCTTTCTGGTGCAGAATCACACATTGTTTTTAGGTGTCATGTCTCCTTGTCTCTTTTAATCTGAATGTATTTTTCAGTCTTTCTTTATTTACCTTTCATGACCAAGAAACTTTAGGATACTGGCCAGTTATTTTATAGTCTCTCATTTCAGGCCAGAAGTTTTATATTTTTATGTAGCTGCCTTTATTAATGTTTTCCTTTACTTATTTTATACAATGTCATAATGACTGTAATGTTCCATTGTCTGGGAGTAATTGTTAATATAATCAACTTGTTGGGCACGTCACCATTTATAATTACAAATAGTACTGTGCTGAGCATTTCTGTAGCTAAATCTATTTTATATCCTTGCTTGTTATGAAGATAAATTCCTCTGAGTTAAAGGATATATATTTTTTAAAGGCATTTGTGTGAATCACCAAAGTGTCCCCTACAAAGTTGTACCACTTTGCATTGCTGCCAGCAAAGTAGTGAGCTATTTTCAAATGCAAACTGTACTTTGTATTACTAATGTTCGTTCTTAGAAATGGCTATCTTTTGTTTTTTAGGCATGTGGCTTGGTTAAAAACCTGGCCCTTATGACACACATCACAACTGATATGGAAGATGGACCTATTGTTAAATTAGCCAGTAATTTGGGAGTAGAAGATGTGAATTTATTATGTGGGGAAGAGCTCTCTTACCCAAATGTGTTTCTTGTCTTTCTTAATGGTGAGTATATTATAGAGACGTGTTGATCCTGGATAGTCTGTAAAGAGGGGGAGGGAATCCATTATTATCCTGATATTTAAAGCACAAATACACTTTAATTCTGGGTCCAAGTTGACCTTCACCTAAAAGTAGAAAAAGCAATGGTAACAGAAACAGTTACTTTATTGGCTGGGTTGTCCAAGGTTCTGAGAGGATATAGCTGTTAGAGCTAAAGGGTAACATTGCAGAGAGTGGCTGCTTTCTGCCCTTTTGCAGTTGCTGGCTTATCCATAATGGAATAAGTTCAACATGGTATCTTTAAGTGCAAGTTAAATATTGGAGTCACTCTGCAAAAATTATCAGATCAACTCTTACAGTGAATTGACTGTTTAGCTGTCTGATCATCAGTATGTCAGCAGCCTGTGGTAAGAGGGTCCCTCTCCTTGGCTCACACTCCAGTTACTTCTTTCATATACCTCTTCCTGCCTCCTTCAAAGTCTTTCAGCCTTAGCAGCAAGTGTATTCTCTTCCTTTCTGCTTTTGATTTGCTGCTCTGTGTGCCTGTCCTCTCACTAGTAAGCTCCATGAGCTTATCCCTTATCCCTTGTCTGTTCTCTCTTCCTCTCCCCCTTCCTCTGACTCTGAGAGACATTAACTCTTTTTCATATGGGCTGGTGAGAAAGGGGTCAGAGCCTCAGCAGAGCTGTTAACCTACTGCCTCGTTCATTGTATCCCAGAGGCTAACACTGCATGAGCCTTCACTCTGCACTTTTACCCAGTACCTCTTTGAATCCTCCCACTAATCTTTGGAGGCAAAGTTCATTTTCCTTATTTCACAGATGATGATTAAACAAGCGCAGTTTAATAATAGCAGTAGGTAATAGGCAGAATTCTCAGTACTTTAAATGATCAGCTTGTTCAATCTTTACTACCAGCCTATGAAAGTGATGGACAATGTTCAAACCCAGATGGTTTTGGGCACCAAGTTCATGCTCCCAGCACTGTGCTGACAGTTGAGGAAAATAGAGCTAGCTTTTCCAGTATTCCTTGGCCAGCATGTGGAAGGACTGGCCCTTAACCATTCTTCCTTCATTGCTTCCCTGCAACCCCTTGGACTGGTTGCAGGTGTTAACAGTATTTTCAAATGACTGCTTAGTGCTGCTTATTGTTTTTATTGGTTGAATATATTAAATCAGGATGGATTTATTTTTTATTTCTGACTTACCTAGTCTTTCTTTTTGCTCAGGTAACATCTTGGGTGTCATTAGAGACCATAAAAAGCTAGTGAATACATTTCGACTGATGAGAAGAGCAGGATATATCAATGAATTTGTTTCCATCTCAACAAATCTTACAGATCGATGTGTCTATATTTCTTCTGATGGAGGAAGACTGTGCAGGTATATGTTACTAAAAAAAGTTTTTAAGAATCTCTTTATATTCTTGAAAGAAATAGACTTGTTTTTATTTTTGAAACTACTTTAACCTCTCTCATTGTGAAGATAAATTTAATTGTTAGCATACACTTCATGAATATGCATATTAGGTAACGAGGATTTAGATTAATGGGAGACAGTCTGCCCTCAGAGGGCTCAGTCTGCTGGGAAAAACAGAAAAAGTGACTAATACCAATCAACTGTCCTAGTAGTTAATGCTAGCTCCTATTTGTCATTTTAATGGATGTACGATATGTGTAAGGCTTTAACTTCATTCAACCCTATGAGGTTGGATTTTTCTTTTCATTTAACAAATGAGGAAACTGAAGTTCAGTAAGGCAAAGTAACTTATTGAAAGCTAGAGAGTGGTGGAGTCTGATTTTTATTTGTAAGTCCTTGGGATTCGTTTTGACTCATGATTTTGCCCTCTGTAGTCTGTTGCTACAAACAGCTTTAAAGGATGAGTAGATTGTGTTGCTTGAGTGTTGGAGTGGGTAGGGGAGGAGAAAGACTGAAAAAAGGCAAGAATGAAAACATGGAGGCATGAAGAAATAAAATAACATTAGACACAATGGAAAAGTAGGTTCCTTTTATTCATTCAGCAAGTATTTATTAAGGACTTACTATACACAGGTGCTATCTAGGAGCTGGAGGTACAAAGATGAATGTGACATAGTATCTGGTTTGAGGGAATATGCAGAGACATCAGCTAAGGTCATTGCCTCGTTTCACAAGCCTTCTCTGGTGTTACTGTAGTTATTCTGTGTAGACCTCGGGTAGTGTTGAAGCACGAGGCAGTGAGCTAGCAGTAGCTAGGAATCTATCAGAGCTGGGAGAGTAACTGTCCAGCATCCATTTCTCCTTCAGATGACAGTACTTAATTTTCCTCTGGGGACTGCTCCCCCAACCCCCACCACTGGCAGGCTTCTTGGGATGGTTAGTCCAGCGCCCTGTTCTCTTCAGCAAGGGATTGGGCATATGACCCAAATGAGGCCAGTCCGATCACATCATCAGAGAATTTAAATCCTAGGTAGGATAAATCAAGGGAGGGAAGTGGTTGGACTTAATTCATTCTCCCGGTGCTGCGTGCAAGAGGCTACCTGTTATTCCTCATTTTCTGGATCCTTGGAACTGCCGTAGTTCCTTTTATTTCTGAGGCTGAGCATTTCACCTTTTCCTTTGATTCTTTTTCATTTCATTTGATTCTTTTTTTTCATTTTGAGACAGTCCTATTTTGTCACCCAGGCTGGAATGCAGTGGTACAATCTTGGCTTACTGCAACGTCTGCCTCCCAGGTTCAAGCAGTTTTCATGCCTCAGCCCCCCAAGTTGCTGGGATTACAGTCATGCACCACTGCACATGGCTAATTTTTTGTGTTGTTAGTAGAGGTAGGGGTGGGGGGCGGTTCACTGTGTTGGGCAGGCTGGTCTTGAACTCCTGGCCCCAAGTGATCCACCCACCTCAGCCTCCCAAAGTGCTGGGATCATTGCACCCAGCACCAGTAAATTCTCAGTGCTTCCAGTAAACTTCATTTTTTGTTTAAATTAGCCAGAATTGGTTTCTCTTCTTTGTAACCAAAGAATGGATAGCTGATGCTATACCTGTGTTTGAATCCTAACTTCCCACTCACTGAGTTGTGTGACTCTGAATATTCAGTCTCTGAGCCTTGGTTTCCTTGGCTATAAAATGGAAACAGTAATGCCTGCCTGAGATTGTCATGAGAACTAGTTGATATCACATGGGGTAAGTGCTCTGTAGGGTGCCAGGCACACCTTAGGTGCTTATGTGTAACTATTAACAACGTGGTCCAGTGAAGGACAGGAATAACAGTGACAATATCTAGGTTACTCTTTTTTAGGATTTCATTACATCCAATATAATACGACATATTCAAAAAGAAAACTCTTTTATAGAAGCAGCTTTAGAATGGCATAACAGATCTAGCAGGAAAAAATAGTAGAATGCGTTGAGTAAAGTAAGGTTAACTGAGGCAGCTAAATGTGATCCCCTCCCTCTCTTCCTCCTATTTCTGTTGTCACATCTGAGGCTTAAACTGAACTTCACTGCAGCACTCAAATGAGGTATTAGCGGGCTCTGCTTTCCTACCAAGAAGGAGCCAGAATTTTGAGGTACTGTGGATTTCCATGAAAAGCTCACCCGGTTCATTTTTCAACAACTTGTGTTCTCCTTTTGTAACTGTGTAGCTCTTCTTCTTAACTGTTTAAAAGTGCTCATTAGTCCTCAAATAGTTATTTGGACTTTAGGGTAGAGCGTACAAGTGTCTAGTGGTTACTTGCTCCTCTCTGTAAGAGCTGCTTATCCAAATAGCAACAGCCCTTGACGTTTCAGTGCCGCATGCCATCCTTTGTGTCAGGGTTTCCTCATGGTGGCAAAGCCCTCCGAGGCAAGTCCCCACTGACAGTTACAGGTTAATCTGCTAGAATGCCCTCTCCACCTTCCATCCGTTATGTTGCTGAAAATCATAAAGTAAGAAAGTTTTATTCTCTGCCAATTTTTAGCTACTCTCTTTGGTCATGTGTAGCTTTAAGTGTCTTGCTAGCGTAGCTCAGTGATGTTTAGACTAAATCAAACTACTCTAAACATCTGGATATTCATCAGAACCTCATAACACAATGCCATTATTACTCTCAGTGACATTACTTCTTTGCCTGTTAACTCTGTGAGTAGTATACAAAATATTTCCAATGTGAAATCAGGGGACATTTTTGGGATGATACATGACACAGTTTTAAAAAATATAACATTAAAGGTTTTGTTTCCTTTTCAGACTTTATTGAGTATCATTTTTTGTGTTGCCTTTTTGTTCAAAATCAAATGTTTTTTAAGATACTTGCAGGAAGCACTGTGTGTGTGCATGAATATATACACACATACATGTACACATGGGCTTGGGTCTATATGTGTGTATATGTGAGAGACAACATAGGCCCCTACACCATGCTCATGCATACAAAAAATACCTGGTGTCCTCAGCAATCTGGGAATGGGTTTGGTTGTATTTACATCTTCCCTCATCTCACTTTGCTAAACTAACTTGCCTGTGTGATTTTTCCCTGGAACTACTATTAATTTGGTTTTGCTTTTTCTGTTCTAGACCCTATATAATTGTCAAGAAGCAGAAGCCAGCAGTCACAAATAAACATATGGAAGAGCTGGCCCAAGGGTACAGGTAAGTAGCCAAAAGTAAAACTTATCAATCTCCTTAGTACACAAGTACATGATTTAAGAAAAGTGTATTTTCATTTAGTACTTTAATTTCTTTTCATCAGATTGCTAGCCTGTTAAAAACCTATTTTGCTCCATGTGAACTTGCTTGGACATTATAAAATATTCATGAATTTAGATCATGATGGTTACAGAGTCTTGGTGTCAAGTGGTACACAACTAAGTGTTTCTGGTAAGAAAAGGACTTACACATTATATGTCAGTATAGACACTGTAGGTCTCATCATGAGGTTTCTGTGGTTAGAAGTTTTTAAGAAGTGAGGACTAAATTGACAAGAGTTACAGATGGGACACTTTGCTGTTTTTATTTCAGCAATTTGTGGTTACTGTATGAGCTAAGAATAACATGTTTCAGGTAACCCAATGTAATGATACTCTCTGGGAGACAAAGGTGCTTTGGGCCTAAATGAAAGCCAGTATGTCCTGTTGTATAAAATCCTGAAGAAAAAATGCTTTTTAATGATGTCTCTTTGATCAATAATTTCCCAGGAATTTTGAAGATTTCTTACATGAGAGTCTGGTTGAATATTTGGATGTGAATGAAGAAAATGATTGTAACATCGCACTGTATGAACACACAATTAATAAGTAAGTAGGATCCATAGCAGGCATAAATTAAAACCTGTTCTGACTATAGAAACTACTTTCTCTTTTCATTGTCATCTTCAGTCCTATCTTGTACTCTTGGCAGGAACTGTTAGAAAATACAATCTTTTTTTTATTTTGAAAATGCAGGTTTGTTATATAGGTAAATGTGGGCCCTGGTGGTTTGCTGTACCTATCAACCCAGGTGTTAAGCCCTGCATGCATTGGCTATTTATGTTTATGTTCTCCCTCCCCTAGCCCCCCAATAGGCCCCCCAGTGTGTGTTGTTCTCTCCCTGTGTTCATGTGTTCTTGTTGTTGGCTTCCACCTATGAGTGAGAACATGTGGTGTTTGGTTTTCTGTTCCTGTGTTAGTTTGCTGAGGATGGCTTCTAGCTTCATCCATGTCTCTGCAAAAGACATGATCTTTTTATGGGTGCATAGTATTTCATGGTATATATGTACCATATAGAAATTTACAGTTTTGGGCCGGGCGCGGTGGCTCATGCCTGTAATCCCAGTACTTTGGGAGGCCGAGGCGGGTGAATCACGAGGTCAAGAGATCGAGACCATCCTGGTCAACATAGTGAAACCCCCGTCTCTACTAAAAATACAAAAAATTAGCTTGGCATGGTGGCGCGTGCCTGTAATCCCAGCTACTCAGGAGGCTGAGGGAGGAGAATTGCTTGAACCCAGGAGGCAGAGGTTGCGGTGAGCCGAGATCACACCATTGCACTCCAGCCTGGGTAACAAGAGTGAAACTCCATCTCAGAAAAAAAAAAGAAAGAAATTTACAGTTTTAATGTAGAGCATAACCTATCATTTATCCCAGTGAAGAGTATTACAGAGCAGCTAATTAGTCATTTTTAGATTTAATTATCCTTTCTGTTCATGTGACAGTGTGTACGAACACGCACACACACACACACAGATATGTAGTTTTTTTGGGTTTTTGTTGAGACGGTCTTGCTCTGTCACTCAGAAGGAGTACAGTGGCACGACATAGCTCACTGAAGCTTAAAACTCCTAATCTCAAGCAATCCTCCCACTTCAGTCTCCTGAGTAGTTAGGATTACAAGCATAAGTCACCATGCCTGGCCTCAATGTATATTTTTTAAAAGGAGTTGCTTCTCTGATTTTAATGCTTGATTATTGCCAAAATTAAACTAACGAATCAAGCTGTACAAAAATGTACTTATCTCTTTTAGAGGTGATTTTGTTCATAGACATCTGAATTCTTATTGTCAGTGCAGGAATTCCCTACATAGTCTGTTCAAAAACTATCTCAAAGTTTATGTACAGTTTATACACTTGAATTGGTAGTATGTTCACAATATTTCTTCTTGAACAATGATATTTTTAGAAGCATCTGCATTCCATTTGGAGTACATTAAAGAACATCTATATAACTTGCTGTCTGATGCATGTGACTGATGTACCACTTACCTGAAATTGGAATTCTTGCAGATACATTGCTAGGGAGTTTAATACTACCACCTGATAACTATTTATGTCTTCAATCAAGAATAAGTACTTTTCTGACCCGGTATAATGGCTCACCCCTGTAGTCCTAGTGCTTTGGGAAGATGAGGCAGGAGAATTGCCTGAGGCCAAGAGTTTGAGACCAGCCTGGACAACATAGCAAGACCCTATGTCTAAAAACAAAAATAAAAAATTAGCCAGGTTGAGTACACGGGGTGCACACTTGTAGTCCTAGCTACTTGGAAAGTTGAGGTAGAAGGATCGCTTGAGCCCAGGAGTTATGGGTTATACAGTGAGCTATGATCGTGGCACTGCACTCCAGCCTGGGTGAGAGCCTATCTCTTAAAACAAGGAAAAAGAAAAACTTTTTTGTTTTCTGCTACCAACTGAAAAAGATTATAATTTACTAGCCTTGGTAACATGAAAGACCTCGTCTCTACAAAAACCCTAAAAATTAGCCAGGTGTGCATGCTTGTAGTCCCAGTTATTCATACAGATATAGCTGGAGGATTGCATGAGCCCAGGAGCTTTGGGAGCCATGTTCATGCCACTGCACTCCAGCCTGAGTGACAGAGCAAGATCCTATTGCCAGTATACATATATATATATATATATATATATATATATATATATATATATATATATATTTTTTTTTTTTTTTTTTTTTTTTGCACTTTGTAAATGATACTTTTTAGTCAGAATTTTTCTTCCTTAAAGATGTGAATCTCTCAAAGTACTATTATATACCCCTCATTCAAAATTGACTGAGGGCCAGCTGTGGTGGGTCACATCTATAATCCCAGCACTTTGCGAGGCTAAGGTAGGAGGATTGCTTGAGCTCAGGAGTTTGAGATGGGCAACACAGTGAGACTTCATCTCTACTAAAAATAAAAAAAGTTAGCTGGTTGTTGTGGTGTATACCTGTGATCCGAGCTCCTTGGGAGGCTGAGGTGGAAGGATCACTTGAGCCCAGTTTGAGGATGCAGTGAGCTCTAATCAGAACACCACTGCAGTCCAGCTTGGGCAACAAAATGAGACCTTGACTCAAAATATATAGCATGAGTATATAAAAGAACTATTTTATAGTAGCCCCATAAATGACAGTTCTATCCTTTGTGTTACTTAAACCAAAAAAACCCTCTATTTCCATCCTGACCCTTTTTCTGTATAGCCACATTAACCCCTAGCTTATCATGTGAGCCTTCCAAATACACCTGAAATCTGAACTCTTTTCACTACCTCAATCCACCACCTAGTCCAGGCCAGTTGGATTTTTGCAAAAGCCTGACTGTTTTAATACCTGTTCCTATACAGTCTTTCTTTTCCTAATAGAGCAGAGGGATCATGTCAGTTCTCTTTTCAAATACCTCAGGAGCTTTCTGTCTCCCTCAGAAGTTCTTACAGAGGCCTTCCAGTTCCTGCACAATCTGCCCACTTCATTTCTACCTCTCCCCACTCCCTGTTTCAACCTCACTGGCCTCTTCTCTGAACACTACAGGCATGCTTCTGCCTTAGCACCTTTGCGCTGGATGCCTCCTCTGCCTGGAGCACTCTCACACATACCTACATGGCTCACTGCTTCACCTCCCCCAGGTCTTCACTCAGGTGTCACCTTCTTGTGAGACTTTCCTGACCACTCTATTGAAAATAGAAACCCTTATCTCTATCCACTCCGCTTTACTCCTTTTTATTTTTCCTTCTTGCACCTAGTACTATGTAGTAAAATGGGTGTTTCACTGATGTATCTATATACTGTCTATCTCCCCTCGCTAGAAGCTTCATGAAGGCAGGGATTTTCATCTGATTTTTCATTGATGTAAATGAATATAACTCTCAGCATTTTCCAGTTACCAAGCTATTCCATACATTGAATTAATTTCATTTTAAAAATGTAGAAATTTTTGTATTACTTAATTTATACTTACTTTTTTTAAATGTAGAAATGCATTAAGTACGAAGAATGAATCCCTTTCCTTTGCCATCCCACCAGACTCTACCCTTCACAAGTCACCAATGCTAATAATTTCTTACGTATATTCTAGATTTTTTTTCTGAGAACAAACATACATACATGATTCCACACAATGTGTGTTTACAAAACAATGATAACATTTCCAATGTCTTGATTTTGAAACTTACCAGTATATTCTGGACATTTTCCATATTAGTATATATATTTATATACTTGTATATTTGTATACATAGTCATGTGTCACTTAATGATGGGATGGATTCTGAGAAATTTGTCGTCAGGTGATTTCATTATGTGAACATCATAGGGTACTTAAACCTAGGTGATATGTCACCTGCTACACACATAGACTATATGCTAAAGCCTATTGGTTCTAGACTACAAACCTGTACAGCATATTACTCTACTGAATATTGTAGGCAGTTGTAACACAATCGTAAGTATTGGTGTATCAAAACATATCTAACCAAAGAAAAAATACAGTAGAAATGCAGTATTATAATCGTTTGGAACCACCGTCATTTATGCAGTCCATTGTTGACCAAAACGTTATGTGGTGTGTGACTGTATATATATAAATACATATATATTTTTTTTTCATTGCTGATTATTACATTATCTACCTACACATATTTAGTTTATTAACTAGTTTTCTACTGATGAATATTTAGGCAGTTTCCAAGTTTTTCACTATTGTAACAGGTTACTTAGTTTTCATTTGAACTGAATTTAAGTGCTTTATACACAGTGAATAAAAAATCTTGACCAGGCGCAGTGGCTCATGCCTATAATCTCAGAACTTTGGGAGGCCGATGCAGGTGGATCACCTGAGGTCAGGGGTTTGAGACTGGCCTGACCAACATGGAGAAACCTCGTCTCTACTAAAAATACAAAATTAGCCAGGCATGGTGGCGCATGCCTGTAATCCCAGCTACTCGGGAGGCTGAGGCAGGAGAATCACTTGAACCCGGGAGGTGGAAGTTGCAGTGAGCCGAGATCGCACCATTGCACTCCAGCCTGGACAACAAGTGTGAAACTCTGTCTCAAAAAAATTTTTTTTTAATTTCTCAATTCCTGTTCAGTTTCTAAACTGATGATTTTAAAAAGAATAATTTTCTTTTCTTTTTTGTAAAATCAGAATCTAGAGTGTTTGGGCTACTATTAATTGTTAGATACTATATGATTTTATGTATGTTACAGTAGAAGAAAAAAACTTCAGATGTTTCTTTTCATTTTTCAACTCAGTCCAATATTAGCATCTGAAAAATTGGTTTTTACTTAGATAGAGAATGTCAACTTGGCCAATATTTAAAACAGTACATTTAAAAGAAAATCTGTTTTCTTCTAGACTATAAAATGTAGCTATAAGCTCATGATCTTTAAAGAAAAAGGCAAAACAAAACCTAGAGTCTTTTCCCTTCCTTCTTGATAAAGGAAGTCTTTTCCCTTCCTGCTTGTCTGAGAGGTTTGGGGTTCTGCTAGGTCATAAGGTCAAAACAATACTCTTCAAACCAAGAAATACATGGAAAGTACCTTTTCTCACCAAATAGGGACATAATTTAATACATGTGTTTTGAAAAAGAAAATAGATGAATAACTGGATAAATGGGAGATCTTTTACCAGGTATATTCCATTGATGGGTTGGGACCTGGTTTCTTGGACATCACTTCTGTTCACAGGTGCTGTAAACCACTGAAATTTTTAAGGTTACACTTCACAAACACTTGAGGGAGAAATAGCGGGTCCACAGATATCACAGATCTGGATGTCACATCTGGTACTTTCCACAAAGACCTACATTAATCTGGGTAATCTTTCCTATTAACACATCTTAGTTGCTATATCATTTGGCCAAAAAACTGAATTTTCTGCAGAAATATATTATGAAAGTCACCAAGATTCTGACATCTACTAGGTAAAATCTTACTTTGTGTCTAGTACTATTTATAGCAGAGCTGTCCAGTAAAATAAAATGCATGCCACCTGTATAACTTCAAAAGCCACATTAAAAAGATAGAAAAGAAACAGGTAAAATTATTTTAAATAGTATTTTTGTCAGTATATCCAAAATATTATCATGTCAACATGTAATTAATATAAAAGTAATGAGATATTTTACACTTTTTTCCTACTATATAAGTCCTCAAAATCTGGTATGCACTTAAGCACATTTCAATTTGGATACCAATTTTTTATCAGAAATACTTGATCTGATTTCAAAACATTTACACTTTAAAAAGATTCATAAATGTGAGTTGTTCCAAGATAAAAGGTTTTAAATGACTGAACTGAGTTAAATTTTAGTTTGAGTTTTAAAATTTAAAGTAATTAAAATTAAGTTAGCATTTCAAGTTCTCAGTAGCCACAGTTATCTAATGGCTTTGGTATTGGTCCCCCTGTAGGTCTATAGTAACTTTTTTTTTTTTGAGATAGTCTTGCTCTGTCACCCAGGCTGGAGTGCAGTGGCATGTTGTGATCTCAGCTTGCTGCAACCTCCATCTCCTGGGTTCAAGTGATTTTCCTGCCTCAGTCTCCTGAGTAGCTGGAATTATAGGCACCTACCACCATTCCTGGCTATGTTTTTATATATTTTTAGTAGAGTCAGGTTTTCACGATGTTGGCCAGGCTGGTCTCAAACTTCTGACCTCAGATGATCTGCCTGCCTTGGCCTCCCAAATTGCTGGGATTACAGGTGTGAGCCACCATGCCTGGCCTATAGTAACTATTCTTAAAGGAGGTATATTCCACTCTAAAATGGTGATAAAATGTACTAACTGATATATGTCAGAAGAATGAGGAAAACCAGGCTACTCATCCATATGGATATTGTTAATATATTTCTATATGTTGAGTATAGTAATTTATGTGTTAATTACAAGTTCTTATGTTTCATTGTATTTTATTTAAGTATGTTTTTATTTTACCAGTTTTACAAGCATTGAATTTTATTGACTTATAAATCCCTTGGGGACCTAGATAGCAATATTTGTATACCACTAAAAGACACTTATTTTTGCAGTTGATGCTTAAGATATCTGATTCTTACTTAACTTGTTAGAGACACCACCCACTTGGAGATTGAACCCTTCACTCTTCTTGGCGTGTGTGCTGGACTGATCCCATACCCTCACCATAACCAGTCCCCGAGAAACACTTACCAGTGTGCCATGGGGAAACAAGCCATGGGTAAGATTTCCTTCTTGAAACTTTGTTGTAAATACTTGGAAATACTTTTGGAAAAAGTCTTACATCTTTATTCCTGCTTCACCAGTATTGTATGTTTAAACAGATCAGGTACTGGGAGGGTTACCAAGCCCAGGGAGTTGCCTATGGAACTCTGCAAGGCTTGGTGTCCTGCCATGCCTAAAGCGTAAGCAAAAATGGAGAAAACCTCTTTGAATTTGTTTCCTTGACCAAACAAAGCAATATATAATAAATGTCACAGAATTATGAGGGATACATATAAAGAGAAAAGCCCTAGAAAATGTAACTTGTTAACCTTGAGAAATGGGAGAAAGGGCAGAAAAACGGAAGGTTAAGGAGGAAGAGGGATTAAAAAAAACAGATAAAGATTTACAATGTCTATTTGAATGTACCTAGTAATTGCCTGGTTGACAATCCCTGAACCCATTATGCCCTTGCAATTGCTACCATATCTCCTAAAACTTATCTAATTCATCTCATACTAGTTTCTGAATTTATTTTCCTTCTTTTCTATTTTTCTTCTCTTTCATCTGTTAATTTATTCATTCATTGACTTGTAACATTTATTGAGCATAACTATAGACCAGACATGAGGCTAGAGTCTGAAAATAGAGAGATGAGGCAGAGTGCTCAGGGAGTTCAGAGTCTAGTAGGAGAGACCAACAAATAAAACAATAACTCAACGTGATGTAATAAATGGTGTAATTGACAACCAAAATCTAAGGAAATTAGAAGAGGAGGGTCACTTAAAGTGAGAGTGGGTTGTTTCTGAAGGATAGAGCTGAGCCGAGTTTTGGAAGACTGAGTATTTTTGAAGGTATGGAAGTGCGACCAAGTATGACATAAGAGGTTTTGGTACTTTGGTGTGACTTGCTAGTGTAGCATGGTACAGAGGTGTGCAAGGGAGGTGTCATATGTTGAGGAATTTGAGTTTTATCTTGAAGGTAATATGGAGAGAAAACCAGTGTTCCCTGACCCTGCCAAAAACAAAAAAGTTTTAATATAAAGCTTTTTGGAAAAAAAAAATGTGTTTTGAGATGGAGTTCCGCTCTGTTGCCCAGTCTTGAGTGCGATGGTGCAATCTTGGCTCATCACACCCTCCGCCTCCCAGGTTCAAGTGATACTCTTGCCTCAGCCTCCCAAGTAGCTGGGATTACGGGCATGCACCACCATGCCTGGCTAATTTCGTATTTTTAGTAGTGATGAGGTTTCTCCATGTTGGCCAGGCTGGTCTCAAACTCCTGACCTCAGGTGATCCACCCACCTCGGCCTCCCAAAGTGGTGGGATTACAGGCAGAAACCATCACACCTGGCCTGAAATGTTTTTAAAAATCATTTAAATCCTGATGTATTTAGTAAATTTTATTTTCTTATATGCCTGTCACACCAATATGATTGTTTTCTTTGATTTAAAGTATGATTCAAAGAGCTTCATAAGGAAACTGTAAAAATGTAGAGAGGGAAGCATTTGCATTGCCTTTGGGTGACAACCAGAATGCATTTAGCTCCTCAGTTACCAACAACCAGCTGCAACTGACCATAGCTTGGCAATTAAGAAACCCTATTTCTTCATTATGGATAGAGAGTAGATATATTTCTTTTCAAGTTTTTATATTGCCCTCTGGTTAGCTACAAAGAAATAAAAAGCATTTTGTCCTGCTGCCATTTACCTGAATGATGTAATGCCTGGACAGTTGAGAATAATTCCCAGTGGGAAAATCTAAACAGCAGCTCATCAATTTAGCCTTTCCCATTCATCCTGAGTAGCAGTGTAGGCTGATTTCCCGCTTGTGCTTCTGACTTGCTAACAAGTTGAAATATACAGTACTGAACCCTGTGTGTCATGAAAGGGCTATCACTTCTATTGGGTTTACCAAACCATTTTGTTTCATGATGTGAATCCCAGCTGAAACAATATACCTTTTGTGTAGAACCTTCAGCAGAATTAACGGAAGACTAATCACTTCATCGCTAATGCCACTCTTTAGTGTGTTTGAAGATCGAAACAGAAAGAGCTGCAGCTATCTCCCCGTAGCGAAGCTTTTTTAAAAAATAAAGAATAGACCTGAAGGAAAGAAATATTTTTATATTTATAACTCCTGTCCCCCCACACACACAAAAAAAGAAAAGAAAAACCCTTTATATGTGGCCATGAGTATCTGAAACGTTTGGTTAGTTACCACACACAGTTAAGCAGGATCAGTGTGTACAGAAAGCCAATTCAGTGTCTGTAGAGTTCTTTTGTAGTTTTCTGTGTGAAGGTTTTTTTTCTCGTTTTGTTTTGAGTGTCATTTGCAATTCATTGTCTGTGTTTTCTGAGGTTGGTGTATTCAGCTGCTCTGACCCTGGGTCCTGCACATTTAGCTCCTTGGATACAATCCTCTGACGTTACTGCTGACGCTGGGAAGACAAAAGCCACTGAATATTTTAAGTAATAAAAAAAAGCCTTTGTTACTGTTTGTTATTATAAAACACCTGACTGGAAAGAAAAGCAGTGAGATAAAAGTACATTTAGAGTTGGCATATAACGCGGCAGCATTTCTCTGTGGACACTGAAATAGCTGCAGAAGTATTGAGCAAAGTCTGCATGAAAAATGACAAAAGGAAAAGGGTCGGCTGAGGGAGAAAATCCACAGCAGATAGCCAGGTCTGTAACTCAGACCTTGCACTTTGAGTAGAACTTCTCTGGATCGTTTGAATTCCTTGCAGTCTTGACAACTGATAACTGAAACTCACACTCTATCCCATTTTTACTATGAGCCATTACTGAAGATTATTTAAATTCAGAAATTCTATGTGGATTTTCTAAAATAATATTTTACTTGCTATTCATCTGTCTGCTGCTCCATGTATAACATGGAAGATAGTAGCTCAGAATTAACTCACTAAATATTCTAGCCAATCTGGAAAGTTTGCTATCTACCATTCCCTTCTGTCCCTCCCACTCCCCCCAAGACAGTGAAGAAATGAGAGAAAGTAATTTTCTATCACTATGAAGGAGACCAAGTCCAGCACAAACCACAGAAATGGAAAGCCTTACCTTGTATGTAAGAGAGAGCTAATCCACTATAAAACACCAGCAGAAGGTGTTTCTTAAATCTTAGGCTCTTTAAATTATTAATGAAGTTCGAGTTTCCACACAGTGTCTTACTGTGCCACTGAGAAGCACTTCTTCATGGATATGGCTGTGTGTGTTGTTGTGACATGGCTCAGCAAGAAGTCAGGTGGACATCTGGAAATGGCAGGATCTCCAGGTCACTCACTCAGCACTACCAGCAAGGGCTGTGTGTTGCAGCCACATTTTGTGTCCTCTTATGGCACCCGATGCCAAGTTCACGTGAGCCATACTTTCATATCCTGCCCATTTATTAGTTGGCAGTCCTCTAGTAGAATACTTTCTCCTGTGTAAAAGGATCTTCAGTCACTATCAGCTCAATTAATGAATATGCAGCACAGACCTTCCCAGCCCTCACCAGTGGCTTCTTCTCACCACCCCTTCCCCCTTCAACTCCAAACTACTGGGACTTTTTTTTAAGCTTAGGAGTGAATGCAGCTTCTGTTTATGTATTTGTTTTCAATAGATTCTATTCCTAAATAGTTTCTTCCTTTATGTTCCCCACTTTACAGTAGGCTGAGATGTACTAGAAATAGGCTGGAGAATTTTGAGACACTAAAAACATAATATACAAAGATCTACATAAAATTTTGTTTTATTCTGCACCTCTTTACCCTTTCTATTTGATTTAATTTTTAGCATATTTATTCTTCATCCATTTGAATTCTGCTATTGGTTAAAAATTTTTTTTTAATTATTATAGCTATTTTAGGAATAAGCTTATGTGGTATTTCCTAAGACTAGAATGTTAGCAATTAATATATATGGGTAAAATTGAGTATACCAAGTTTAGTATTAAGGTTTGAGTGGGAGGTAAAATGGATGATATTGCAGGGTAATAAGATATATATTTTTATTATTGCTAATATTGTTAATATTGGTCATAAAGAATGTTGCCACTTATTGAGTATCCAAATTCTTTATATACATTATTTCTTTTCTTTTTTTTTTTGAGATGGAATCTCACTGTCACCCAGGCTGGAGTACAGTGGCACAATCACAGCTCACTGTATCCTCTGCTTCCTGAGTTCAAGGAATTCTCCTGCCTCAGCCTCCCAAGTAGCTGGGACTACAGATGCATGCCACCATGCCCAGCTAATTTTTGTATTTTTTATTTTTAGTAGATACAGGGTTTTACCATGTTGGCTAGGCTGGTCTTGAACTCCTGAGCCCAAGGTGATCTGCCTGCTTTGGCCTCCCAAAGTGCTGGGATTACAGATGGGAGTCACCATGCCCAGCCCTGTTTTTTTTTTTGTTTTTTTTTTTTTTAAGGATAGAGTCTTCCTCTGTAGCCCAGGTTGGAGTGTAGTGGCATGATCTCGGCTCACTACAACATCCACCTCCTGGTCCCAGTTCAAGTAATTCTCCTACCTCAGCCTCCCAAGTGGCTGGGATTACAGGCACGATCCACCATGCCCAGCTAATTTTTGTATTTTTTATTTTTAGTAGATACAGTATTTCACCATGTTGGCCAGTCTGGTCTTTAACTCCTGACCTCACGATCTGCCCACCTCAGCCTCCCAAAGTGCTGGGATTACAGGCATGAGCCACTGTGCCTGGCCCATTTTTTTTTAATCACAATAATAATCCTTTGAAATATAGTACATACCTTTTGTTGTTGTTATTCTAACAAGGAAGCTGAATCTCAGTTTTGTTGAGTAACATATAAAAGGTTTTCTGTGTCTTCTATGTAATGTTACCTATAAAACTTGATTTATCTCAACCAAAGCTAACTTCTTCCTTCATTTTTTTCCTGTCCATTGTGGATCATGATCAGGATGCCTTTTTTGGTAGAATGTAAATTATAAGCCCCTTGAAGTCAGGAGTTTCATTATTTATTACAGGTTGAATATCCCTTATCTGAAAT